ATCCCCACCACTTAAACTCTGCACTGGAACTAATTTGTTGTCCTTTGGTTACTTCTAAAATGAGAGATCTTCCTGTGGGAAGCAGCACTTGAGCTCTGCGGTTGAGCTAAATTGCTGCTTTGCTGCTGATTCCTTGGGGAAGGCTTTTTGTGCAGCTCAGGTTTTAATTGTTGACCTTGTAAGCACTTCCAGATCTTGTGAGCCCCGATACACCTGGATTGTGTGGAAACTCTGGTCTGAGCCTGAGTCTTTTCAGCAAATTGCACCCCCTGCAGTTCTGTATTCCTGACCAGTCTCCACTAAGTGGCCCTGTGCTAGAGGACAGATCAGCTGTTCATGCTGTGCTCCAGTGTTCCCCTGGTGGACCTGTCTCCCCGACCACCCACATTCCAAACACTTCCAATAGGGCGGGCCATGCACTGGTCCCTTGCAATAACTCACCGGCATTTGTGTGGCTCCTTTTTTTCAGTTGTCTGTGGCCCCTTTCTCCTATGTGGGTCCACAAGAACCCTGTCAATGGTCTTGCTGGCCTCGGGTCCACCAAGGCCCTCCTCTCCCCTGCATTCTCCAAGCAATTTCCACAAAGGGCATAGCTGTGGTTTTTGCTAGCTCTTGCTCTGTGTGCTCACCAGGTCCAGCCTTGAAGTGGCCGGGGTTTGAAACAGTTGGAGCAATCCCTTCTTTCTCTACTTGCAGCTTCTCCCACCTTCATGAACTCCATAGATCTCTCCTCTTCCCCCGAGCTAGTGGCCCCAGCTTGGCAGTCATTATTTTTTCAATAGTTGCAAATTGGTCGATTGTGGGAGAGAATGATGCTGGGGACCGTCTATTCCATTATCTTGACTCTGAAAAAAGCTTCTCCTGTATTTTCTTTAGAAACTATTTAGATCTGTGTTCTCTCGAATTAATTTTGTGTGTGTATCAGGTAGGGATCAGATTTCGATTTTTTTTTCCATATGTATATTCAGTTGTTCTAGCACCACTTGTTGAAAGGACTTTTCTTTTTCTGTTGAATAACTTTGGCACCTTTGTTGAAAATTATTTTGCTATGTAGGTATGGATCTATTTCTGAACTCTGTTCTGTTCCATTGATTTTTTTCAAATAGATATAGGGCTATCTATTCAAATTATCTATTTCTTTTGTCTACCATAAGCTTTGGTAGCCTGTTTCTTTCAAAGAACTTCTTCATTTCCTTTAAGTTGTCAAATTTATTTGGATTTGACTTAATACGAGTGTGGAAGCTTGCTAAACAGTTTATGTGAAACTGTTGATTTCAAGTCTGGTTCTGGAACTTGAAGTCAGTTAGGGAGAGCACTCAGGAGGAGAAGACGAATGTGAAGTGATAGAAGTAAGGATAGTACTGAATCCTAAATATACTGTACTTTCCCC